CTCCTTTTGTTAGTCATGGGGCTTGAACTCAACCTGGGTGCTGTTACTGAGCTGTTGGGTTTTTTTTTTTCTCACTCTATCACTTTGAGCCACAGCTCCACTTCCATTTATCTGGTGATTAATTGAAGAGTCTCATGGAGTTTCCTGTCTGGGCTACCTTTGAACCACAATCCTCAGAGCTCAGCCTCCTGAGTAGCTAGGATTACAGGCATGAATCACCTGTACTCAGCTCCGCCTAACTTCTTTTTATTTTGTGGCGGTCCTGGGGCCTGAACTCTGGGCTTGGGCATTGTCCCTTAGCTCTTCAACTCAAGGCTAGCGCTCTACCACTTGAGCCACAGTGCAACTTCCAGACTTTTCTGCTTATGTGGTGCTGAGGAATCGAACCCAGGGCCTCATGCATGAAAGGCAAGCACTCTTCCACTGAGCCACCTTCCCAGCCCTCCACCAAACTTCTTATGAGAATAATAAAGAATGATGGAAGAGGTGATATTCATCAAGATGCATTTGTACCAATAAATACATCAAAGTGTTGAATTGAAACCTATTTGTAACTAAAGACAATAAAAATATAATTTAAAAACGTAGTAACTATATGCTGTTTTATCTGATTGATTCGCTTAACATGCTTTCAAGATCCACCTACAGGGGTAGCATAGATTAGAATTTTGTTCACATATACAAAGCAACAATTATTTTGTATGCATGTTGTATTTACCTGTTCATCTGTTGGATCCTTGGTTGTTTCCACTTGTTAGCATTTAAAAAGTAATGTTGCTATCAACAGTGGTATACATATATCTGTTTGAATCCCTACTTTCAAAGTTGAATTGTTTGGATAAGTATAACTATTTCAAGAAATTGCCAAGCTGCTTTTCACAATGCTACCATTTTACATTCCCATCAGCACCCAGCACTATTTCGAGGCATGCCAGTCTATTTTAGAAAGTACAACTTAGACTGCAAGCTGCAAAGCGTAGAGTCTTCCCACACTTCGTTTCTCCATCATTGTGTGTGTGTGTGTGCGCGCGCGTACATACACACACACACACACACACACATGCTGGGGACCAAACCCAATGCCTTGTGTATGCTAAGTATTCTGCCAATAAACTACACCCAGCCTTGCTAGGCACGCATGGTCAGAAATACCCTGGACTAAAAGAATTCATTCTGAAAGCTCAAATGGCCAGATCCTGGGGTCTGAGAATAAGGTAACCGCTATATTAATCTTTTTTTTTAATTGTGAAAATACCATACAGAGGGGTTACAATTACATGGGCAAGATAATGAGTACATTTCTTATCAAGCATTGTTGCCTCCTCCTTTGTTTCCCCTTCCCATCCCTTCCCATCTCCCCCACTCCCCCTCCCCTCTGCCCCCTCCTGGCCAAAGTTGTAAAGTTCATTTTTCGACATAACAAAAAATGGATCCACCTGGATCCCTATTTAAATGATTTGTTTTTCCCCTTCCCCTCCACAAATTATACCAACATCAAATACAGTGAAAGCAGGGGTTATAGCATGGGGGAGGGACATACAAAGCAACAAAGAAATCATCTTATAAATATGTTAGAAACAATTGCAAGAAAGAAAAACATTTGAATGCTTATCTTGGGGTTAATTTCACCTAACATCAACATATCTGACCTTTTCTGCTTGTCTCAGACATATACTAGTTATTGCAAATAAGGGAAACCATGGGACCTATGTTTCTTTGAACCTGGCTTACTTCACTTAATATAATTTTTTCCAAGTCTTTTCATTTCCTAACAAATAGGGCAATGTCATTCTTTCTGATGGAGGCATAGAGTTCCATTGTGTATATATACCACATTTTCTTGTTCCATTCATCTACTGAGGGGCATCTGGGTTGGTTCTGTATCTTAGCTATGGTAAATAATGCTGCAATAAACATAGTTGTGCTGGTAGCTTTAGTATGGTCTTGTTTTTCATCATTTGGGTAAATGCCCAAAAGTGGGATTGCTGGGTCATAGGGGAGCTCTATGTGGAGGCTTTTGAGGAACCTCCATACTGCTTTCCAAAGTGGTTGAAAAAGTTTACACTCCCACCAACAATGCAGTAAGGTTCCATCTGTCCACATCCCCTCCAGCATCTGTTGTTATTAGAGTTCTTGATTATAGCCATTCTAAGTGGGTATCTCAATGTTGTTTTGATTTGCATTTCTTTTATGGCTAGAGAGGTTGAGCACTTCTTCATGTGTCTATTGGCCATCCTTCTTTCCTCTTCAGAGAAGTCTCTCTTTAAGACTTTAGCCCACTTATTTATTGGGCTGTTGTTTGAGAATTTGTATAATCTTTTGAAGCTCACTCTTTATATATCAAGATCAGGTATCACCCTTGAAAGAGTCAGGGCTGCTAAATGACCTTCACGGACAGTGCTAAAACAAGTAGGCCAAAAGAGGACCAAATGGGAAGGTCAAAGAGAATCAAATGCACAAGTGTTCACCTTCCCCTTCCTACACCCAGCAGTGCAGTCTTCAAAGCATTTTCGGAAGGCCATAAGGGGACTGCCTCAGTTTCTCTCCTCCTAGTAATCCCACCCTGCTGGATGTAAAACCTGCAGCCCAATCTGCTCTCCTTACTTTCCTTATCTAATTGCCTGTCTAACCCTTTGTGGAGTTCAATACTCAGGCAGTTGATTTCCTGAACGTCAGTTTCATCCTTCAAAGCATAGTTCTGTTTTGCTAATAAATCAGTCTTTACTATCTTCCTAGTGTTCACCTGTCTCTTGCCACACCTAGGGAAATGTCTTAGTCTTAAGTATCTTAATTTTAACTATCAAACTGAAGTAGGCCCTGAGAGGAGAGTTGAGCTGGTACAGCTTCTTTCCAGGCTTTGCCTTTGTTTTAGGGATTTTAGAAAAATCCTTTAAGCAAGGTTAACTCGACCTTGGCTCCAACCAGCCCAGTTCCTGGAATGGAAAGAATGCCTCTAGGTCCCCCTCCCCTTAACAACCTAACCCACCTTGATTGTTCAGTTAAGGACTAGCTCCAACTGGCAACACCACGTGCTTACAGTAAACCCTGCCTTTTGAACAGGCTTATGGTATACTCCACCTACTGGCCACCTGTGTATGGTCTGGTATGATCCTATTGGTCACCTGTGCGTGACCAGGCTCCACCTCATGGATTTTGCCTTTAAAAACCAAAGAATGGGGCTGTTCAGGGTTCGCAGTATCAGCTCCCCAGCCTGTGTTGTGGCCCTGGCTGGTCAGTGTAGGAACCTTCTCAATAAAGTTGCTTCTTTGTTAACAACTTTGTTGGGGTGGGCTCTGTCACTCCAGATGACTAGGTGGGCTTGCCTGCCTGAGTAGGGGTCTTCCTACTACAAAACTCAGGAACTGAGGAACATTAGGTGCATCCCCAATGACATAACAATACTTTTTTTTTTTTAATGCCTGAGGCTTGGCCTCAGGTCCTGGGCTCTTTACCTGAGTTTCTTAGGTTCAAGGCAAGCACTCTACTACTTGAGCCACCGCACACTACTTCCACCTTTTTTTTTTTTTGAGTAGTTTATTGGAGAGTTTTCTGCCCAGGCTGGCTTTGAACCACAATCCTCACTCAGATCTCAGCCTCCTGAGTAGCTATTACTAAGAGGCGTGAGCCACCAGCGCCCAGCTTCAGTCATCTTAACACATCATATCCTATAATAGAGCAGTGTTTCTCACCACACACAGCTGAGTTTCACACAGCAATCATCTGAGGCTCCTGTTTTATCTGAAGAACCCTAGATTTGCCCCGTGCAGGTTGAAACATCTCTAAGGGTGGACCCACACCTACTAAAACATGAGATTCTGAGTAGATTGCTGAGTTCTTATGGACATAGAGAGTATTTTTTGCATCTCTAAACATATTCAATAAATATACTTGAATTTAGAGTAATGCTGTCTTGCAACATATTCAATAAATATACTTGAATTTAGAGTAATGCTGTCTTGCAATCTAAAGTCATTTTTCTACTGTTTTTATCGGATGTACAGTAGTCATTGCAATTCCATTCAGTCACTACACATCTAATTAAAATAACTTGTAATTAAGGTATGGGGCACACATTTCATTTACATAGAATAATCATATTGTGCAGTCTAACCTAACATCTTGTTGCACCAAATCTTTATTCTCTATATAATTCTCAGTTATGCCCTGCATGCTTTGAGGCAAGGTTTAAAGAAAGAGTACAGACTTGAAGAATTTATATCTGTTGTAGCCTCAACTGTTATTTAAGACCTAAGCTTATAATTAGCAAACAATAACATTGTAACTTTACCACTTCATACTGTCGCTGCAACGCAATACCGTGTATAAAGAAGCCTACTGCAGGATTGGTTACAATTACCCTGCGGTCTAGTAACTGAAACAAAAACATTTGCTGCTAAGTTTGGGCAGAGGGGGAGCTTCAGTAAGTAAAGCTTGAGCAGGTATGAACCGAAACACGGGGGAGAGGGGGAGCCGTATCTAGAAGGTGAGAGGCAGAGAAAGTTAACGAACTACGGTGGCAAGTCCTCCAGGGAATTTAGCTCCTTTCGATAAACTGTTCACCGCTTCACCAGGTGATCAGAGTCCCGCTTCCCATTCACCCGCCGTTTAAAAGCCTCTGGGAGCGCTGTCTCTTTAACACACAATAGAACTCCGATGGCGTCGAGGAAGAATCACCCTTTCTCCCCCGCCCCCTTTCCCCCCAGCTACAGACCGTCTTCCGGGCACCCACCCTCGGAGAACGCTGACGTTAAGGGGCCGGGGCAGCCCCTCACCTCCAGTGCCCCGCCCCCGGGGGGCGGGGACACAGCTCCGCGCGGCCCCAGGCTCTCGGGACTCGTCTGGCCACGCCTGGAGCGCGGGGTTTGATTGGGCCGCCGTTGTTGTAGTGACCGGGAGGCGCCGCCGCTCCGAGCGGACAGTTCCGGACGCCGCACGGTCCCCCCCCCACACCCCCGCCGACCGCGTCCCGCCCCTTCCCCGGATCCCCCCCCTCCCGCCGGAGCCCGGCGCCCGCCGCGCCCCTCATGGCCTCCGCCCCGGTAAGGACCGGCGGGGCGGGCCCCTCCCGCGCCGTCCCGGCGTGGGGCGGACGGGGGGCGACCCCGACTCCTCCCCGCCCGGGCCCCACGGCGCACCTCCCCACCACCCCCACCGCCGCCCCGGCCGGCCGGGGTCTCCGGAGTCCCCGCCCCGGCCGGCCGGGGTCTCCGGAGTCCCCACGGGCGCCTGGAATCCTCGCAGGGTGTCCGTGGAGCGCCCGCGTCAGAATCGCCCGGGGGGGCTCCGAGTGCCGAGGCCGGGGCGCCGCCTCCGGGACGCCCCCCGGGCCCTGCTCCCCGCGGAGGGAAGCCGGGGCATGGACGGAGGCGCACCTCCGTGGGCGCCCCGCGCCCGGGCGGGAACGGAGAGGGCACGGCCCGGAGCCCGGGGCGGGGAGCAGCGCCGAGCCCCGGGGTCTCCGGAGCCCGGGTCCGCACCTGCCTTCCCAACCGCACCCCCCCTCCCCTGCCTTCCAGGAGGACCCCGTCTTGGAGCGTTATTTTAAAGGTCACAAAGCTGCGGTCACCTCCGTGAGCTTCAACCCCAACGGCAAACAGCTCGGTGAGTCTCCCGCTCGGCCTCTCTTTCGTGTACGGACGCCAAAGGTGCATTTGGCTGCCATCTGTCGTCTGGGGGACGAAGGGGGTCCCCCTCGGGCATTCCCCGTCTCCATCCCCCGCGGCGCCGCCCCCCCTTGCCCGCGGGCCGGGCCTCACCGTGACCGCGGCGTCTCCCCAGACTCACCAGCAGGTGGCGCGGGCGGGAAGGGGAGGGGTTTGCGCCGGGCCGGGATGGGTGGGGTGTTGGCTGGAGAGTTTGTGAAAAGTTCTGGGCCGAGCAGGAGGAGGAAGTGGGGACTGGAGGAGTTGGGCTGTACCGGAGACCGAGGTCCTTGGGGCCGGGGTGTGTGTGTGTGTGTGTGCGTGCGCGCGCGCATGTGTGTGCGCGGGGTGGGGAAACCCCCACAAAGTGAGCCAACTCCGGTGGCTGGAAAGGAGCTGAACGCCTGGCTGGAAGGGGAGACGTGCTGGGAAGTGAAGGGCTCCCCTACCTAAGCCGTGGGACGACTGCTGCTCCTCCCCCACCCCACCCCCGCCGGCCGGCGTGGGGGCCCGGTGGCCAAGTCTGCGCCCCCCCAGAGTCCCCGGCCATGCGGATCCGGATGGCCGTGAGGTGGACATGGGCAGGCAAGAGCTGCTTGCTGCTGGCGCTTCTCACAGTAGCTTACATCCTGGTGGAGTTCTCCGTCTCCACTTTGCACGCCTGGCCGGGGGCCAGCCAAGCCGGGCCCCGGGGGGCAGGACGGCTCTCAAACCTCGACCAAACGGGAGAAGATTTGTCTCGCCCTCTTTATGCGAAGCCCCCTGCAGATTCCCGCGCACTTGGGGAGTGGGGGAGACCGAGCAAGCTCCAGCTGAGCGAGGACGAACAGAAGCAGCAGGAAGAACTCATCGAGAGATATGCCATTAACATTTACCTCAGCGACAGGATTTCCCTGCACCGCCACATCGAGGATAAAAGGATGTACGAGTGTAAGTCCCAGAAGTTCAACTACAGGAAGCTCCCCACCACCTCGGTGATCATCGCTTTCTATAACGAAGCCTGGTCCACTCTGCTCCGCACCATCCACAGTGTTTTAGAAACCTCCCCCGCGGTCCTCTTGAAGGAGATCATCTTGGTGGATGACCTGAGCGACAGAGTTTATTTGAAGGCGCAGCTCGAAACCTACATCAGTAATCTGGACCGCGTCCGCTTGATTCGCACCAATAAGCGAGAGGGTCTGGTGAGAGCCCGCCTAATTGGGGCCACTTTCGCCACTGGGGATGTCCTCACTTTCCTGGATTGTCACTGCGAGTGTAATTCTGGGTGGCTGGAGCCCCTGCTAGAAAGGATTGGTAGTGATGAGACAGCAATTGTTTGTCCCGTTATCGATACCATTGACTGGAATACTTTTGAGTTCTATATGCAGACCGGAGAGCCCATGATTGGTGGGTTTGACTGGCGTTTGACATTCCAGTGGCATTCCGTCCCCAAACACGAAAGGGACCGGCGGACCTCAAGAATCGATCCCATCAGATCGCCCACGATGGCTGGAGGGTTGTTTGCTGTCAGCAAGAAGTATTTTGAGTACCTGGGAACATACGACACGGGCATGGAGGTGTGGGGAGGTGAGAACCTAGAGCTGTCTTTTCGGGTGTGGCAGTGCGGCGGCACGCTGGAGATCCACCCGTGTTCTCACGTGGGCCACGTGTTCCCTAAGCGGGCGCCGTACGCCCGCCCCAATTTCCTACAGAATACTGCCCGGGCCGCGGAAGTATGGATGGATAAGTACAAAGAGCATTTCTACAACCGAAACCCACCGGCCCGGAAAGAAGCTTATGGGGATATTTCTGAAAGAAAAATACTACGAGAACGACTGAGATGCAGAAGTTTTGACTGGTATTTGAATAACGTGTTCCCTAACTTACATGTACCAGAAGATAGGCCAGGCTGGCACGGGGCTATTCGCAGTCTGGGCATCTCTTCCGAATGTTTAGATTACAATTCTCCCGAAAACAACCCCACAGGTGCGAACCTTTCATTGTTCGGATGTCACGGTCAAGGAGGCAATCAGTTCTTCGAATATACGTCGAACAATGAAATAAGGTTTAATTCTGTCACCGAGTTATGTGCAGTGGTCCCTGAACAAAAAAATCATGTAGGAATGCAAAACTGTCCTAAAGATGGACTCCCGGTCTCAGTCAATATTATTTGGCATTTTAAACCAGATGGGACCATATTTCATCCACACTCGGGACAGTGTCTTAGTGCTTACCGGACACCTGAGGGCCGACCTGGTGTACAAATGAGGACTTGTGATGCCCTAGATAAAAATCAGATCTGGAGTTTTGAGAAATAGAAAAGCACAACGGATTTTTTTTTCTCATGAGCTGACAATATCTCGAAAGGCAGAGAGTCCCAGTGAAGATTATGTTTTACCGGAAGTCATCCAGCAGTCATCTATGAAGGGACCAGAGAGTTGTGGTTCACTCAGGAATATTACACTGAAACTGGGTGCAGAGTGCTGCTGTTTAATGTATCCGTGCCTTACTGATGGGTTGTTGTTGTTTTATGTAAAAGCTTTGTTGATAGGGTCTCTTACTTCTCTTGAAAGAAACTGACTGTGAATTGAGATACACAAAACACTTTTTAAGTGTCAGACATCAAGTTTAAGAATGTAAAAGTCCAAGCAAAGTGAAATATGAGTTATGCTGGTGGTTGTGTTCACTGCACATCCCATTTTTTAAAACCAAAACTTAAATATATGCATTTGGAATTATTACTATTTTGATTACATAGAATCTGGTTCACTTTTAAGCTAATTTTCCTTTAACCAAATAGAAATCAAAGAAAAGCAGATGTAGAGAAAAGAGCCTGGTTTAGATATTTCTTTCCCTGGTTTGAATGTGAGTTTGGAGGGCTTTTTAACATACAGAAATCTCAGACAATTAGAAGTCTGGATGAAAGGGAAAGATACTTACATTCCACACTTCGTGAACTTGAGCTATTGGACTTATCTGTATATCAATACCTCTAATTTTGCATGCTCTCCCTCTGTGAACTTGTTATGAGTAGGGCATTTTCGAATTGCACTTCCCTAAGTTATGAATGTACTAGGAATGGATTCATTCAGAATACTGTCCATCTCTTTGTTTTTAATGCTTAATCATTTGAAGTAAACACAACTGAGGCCTCTCTGAAAGTTAAACCCGAATGTGTTTACTGAAATATGTGAAACTGAAAGTGGACCCACTTCTGCAAAGACTGGAACTCTTCCACAAGTTCCTACTGATCTGGAAATTTAAGGATTTGTCTTAAAATTGCCAGGAAAGAAGTCTGCATTGACAATTGTCAGTGCTGCCTTCTTGCCTATTTGTAGCCCCTACCAGTCTTATGCTTAGGCAGCTTTTAGTAAGTGGGTGAATGAATGACTGAATGAATGGCTTAGCTGAGGAATATGATTTTCATCCAGTCATTTTTATTGCACTTGCTCATCAGTTTCCTCATCTGTAGGTGATTTATGAATGTTCCAGCTATGAAATGTTGATTATACATTCTCTCCTCAGACTCATTCATTGTGCAATTTCTATTACAGCTTTCCTATCTTCACTTCTAACATAGGTAATATTGAGCAATGTTTGCTACAGTGTTTGTGAGCTGGAAAAGAGTGGTGTTTTTTTTAAAACTGAGTGAGCTGAGCTCACCTGAAGCATTTGTTTCTGGTAGTCATTTCACTTTGACAGTTCTTGAACCAGTTTTGTTTTTTAAAACTTCTAAGCTGTAGCTGGGCCCCAGTGGCTCATGCCTATAAGCCTAGCTACTCAGGAGGCTGAGATTTTTGAGGATCATGATTTGAAGCCAGCGGGGGCAGAAAAGTCTGTGAGACTCTTTATCTTCAATAAACTACTCAGAAAAAGTTGCAAGTGTTGTAGCTCAAGTGGAGAGTGCTAGCCTTTAGCATAAAAAGGCTCAGGGACAGCACCCAGGCTCTGCCTCAGTTCAAGCCCCAGGACCAGCACGCAACAAACAAAAAAAAAGCCTTATGTGCCCTAAAAGTAATCTTTGCTAAGAATGTTATTTCCAAACTAAATCATGTGAAAAGCAAACATACTTTTTTTTTGAAGTATCTTTACTGCTTTCCTACCAATGTTAGATCCAGAAATCACAGGCTGCACTTAGAATTAAATCTCAGTTTCTGTACACTCCGTAACAAATTAGCCCACAAGTGTTCCTAAGGAGTGTTCAGTGTTTACTTGATGACATAGAGAGTGGGAACTTTGCAAAATCTGAATTTAAGGAATTGTGTAGAATGGCCACGTCAAAAATTTAAAATCACTATGGTAATTGAGATTATTGTGTATTTGCCAGTCTTGGGGTTTCGACTCAGAGGCTGGATGGTGTCCCTGAGCTTTTGTCCACTGCTCCACTTCTGGTTTTCTGGTGGTTAATTGGAGGTAAGAATCTCACAGACTTTTCTACCCAAGTTGGCTTAGAACTGCAATCCCTAGATTTCAACCTCCTGAGCAGCTAGGATTACAGGCATAAGGCACCAGATCCAAGCTTTTGTTTCTGTTCTGCTTCTTAAAGTTGAGAATATGTTAGTAGTCTTTGTAAGTTTCCAGCAACCTTAAAGTTTATCAAAGAGTTGTCTAGCTTCTATGTGTAACATGCTTGGCTCTGGTATTCATTTAAGAAAAATTCATAATAGTGCTCTGAACTATACAGCTCTTTCTCCCTTTGCCCAGTCTTTTTTAAAAAATAAATTCCTATTTTTAACTTATTTAAAAAATGATCTTTTTCTGTGTTTTTCTTCCGGCTTTTCTTCTTTTTTTTTTGCTTATGTGGTGCTGGGGAACCGAACCCAGGGCCTCATGCATGCAAGGCAAGCACCCTACCACTGAGCCACCTTCCCAGCCCCTTCTGTGTTTTTCTTAGCCCCCAATCATATGAGAAAAAAAAAAGATGCATTCTTGAAGTACCTGTTTGAATTATTCTTTATTTTCATATCTTACTGTTCCTATCAAAAGCAAAAAGAAGCTTTTAAAACTAAAATATTGATTTTTTTTAAATTTAAGTTGATGGTGAGACCCAGCAATCTTTTTGGAAGAAATTTTAGGCTAGTGCTTTATTTATATCAATAATTCACAATAGTTAGATTGTTCATCCCTGATAATAACATACTTTAACAGAGAAACATGACTCATGTTTTTATATGTAGGTATGTTTCAATTTGATTCCAAAAATATATTGTAATGACAGGTACAAATATATTTTCATTTTTTCATTCTAATTTATTGGTACCACAGCTCTCTTTTGCTGTAGACAATTAAGAGTTGACCTTTAAAGCTAATTTACATGCTTAATAGTCATTTCACAAATTGAACAAGAACTTTCCACTTTATTCACTATTTCAACGTACAGGGTTGACTATGTAGCATTCTTAACAGTCATTTTTATTTAAAAAATGTTAACATAGTCATCAGAAGGGTCTTTATAACCCCATATAACTTATTTGTGGAATAAAAATTGTTTACTCACTTGTGTATGCATTCATGTTAGCAAATTAGAATTTTCTAGTTTGGGGACAAGAGATTCGTTTTTACATTGAATACCGTTGTTTTAGCATCTAAATTTTACTTAATAAAATACATAGTTTCAATATTGGTCTTTTTAAATTGTTTAATATTTTTGAACGAGCATAGATTAATCTCTTAAATGACAAACTTTTTTGTGTTATGAAGTTTCTTTTTTTTCTTTTTTTGATAATGGTGTTTGTAGTGTTGATTAAGACATAAAATAAAATGTGTGGCTAGTTATTTTTGCAAATGGGTTGTGATGATTTTAGTCTATGGGATTATTTCTCCTGTGTACACATTAATGACATAACAGATAAGTTAAGCTTTTAATTCTTCTTCTTTTTTTTTTTTTTTGACATTCCTGGGGCTTGAACTCAGGTTTCTCACTTGATAGACAAGTACTACTGCTTGACCCACATTTCTAGCCCCTCTTTAATGATTCTAACACCCTACAGCCTCATCTCTCTTAGTTGAGACACTGCCTCAGATTGGTTATTCTAAGAACACTGCTTTTATCTGATCTCTTAAAAACTTTTTATGATGTATATTAATTGTACAGTTGTATATTAATTGTGACAGTTTTCATACCGCTACAGAAGGTACTCTAACCATATCATCAGATGTCTTTTTGTTTTGTTTTGTTTTTTGTTTTTTTTGGGGGTCCGGTCGTGGGCCTGAACTCTGAGCCTGGGCGCTGCCCCTCAGCTCTTCAGCTCAAGGCTAGTACCACTTGAGCCACAGCACCACTTCCGGCTTTTTTTCTTTTTCTTTTTGCTTATGGGTGATGAGGAATCGAACCCAGGGTCTCAAGCATGCAAGTGAAGCGCTCTACCACTGAGCCCCTTCCCAGCCCCCATCAGATGTCTTATAGCCACCTTTAGGACATGAATAGAATATGCTGAACATATTTTCACTTTCTCTTTGTTATAATCCACTAAATTAACAGTTACTATAAACATGTGGGTTTTTTTTAAAATTCTGCTCTCTTAGTAACTCTTGTAACACTCTAAATTATTTTATATCTCTGTGTTTCAGTTTCATGAATGTAAAAAAAGTACTGGAAAATCCATAGCAAACAGTGTATTAGTGGTTTCCAGGGACTGGGGGAGGGAGGGATACAGGATAATGGCTGGTTGGTTTGGGTTTTTTTGGGGGGGGAGGGAAGCGAGGAAGAAGGTGGGCATCATGATGAAATTTCTAGAATTGGTGATAGTGGATACACACTGGGTCTTGTACTAAACCTCAAATTTTATGGCTTGTGAATTATATCTGGATTTAGAAAAATCAGGAGAGGGGAAGAGGTTGGGAAATTTCAGGTATCTTAGGGATGAGATTTTGAAATCACTTTTTAATTTGTAGAATTAGGAAAAAATTTGCTATTGATCCAAATCTTATGGTTTAGTAGTGGGAGAAGTTTGTATTTTTTCCTAAAAATTGAGGGAAAGTTCGACTAATTCTTTGTTAAAAAGTGAATTGAGTGCCTGTGTTGTGTAGTTGTTTGTGACAGAATGGAAGATCAAAGAAAGCCTATTTGCTAGTAATAATCCTATTTATTCTGATAATAATCGTGTCTCCTTCCATCTCCCTCCCCCTCTCCCTCCCCCTCCCGTGCTAAGCTTTATCCTTTGGGAAAGATGCCTACTGGAGGTTGGAAGTGTCCACTGGTCACCATCCTGGCCAGTTTATTCGCATTTATCTATACCTGTTAGATAAAAGAGAAGGGGAGGTGGTATATTTGTTTAGGACTCCTTTATTTAGTTAATGCCACTGTGTGCCAGATGCTATCCAGTGCTCTGAGTGTACACGCAGTGGTGAACAACACACATCTACTTCCTGAGATGGTATAAAGAAGTCATGGTTCAATGGTAGAGGCAAATATTAGCTAGTAAGCCCACAAATCCACGTGTAAGTACACCTGGATGGAAGAAAGGAAAACAGTGCTGCGAAGGAAAGAGACAGGGTGTCTGATGAGTGATAATAATTCTCCACAGAAGTTATATTTAACTGAAGACATAAAGGAGGAATTAGCTAGGTAAAGACTAGAGACTGGCATAGGCAGAGACCATTACAAGTTCTAGAAAGAGCTTGTACTAAATTAAGGAAGTAAAAAAAAAAAAAAAAGCCAGAAAGACTAGAGCCTGGTAAACAAAGAGTGTGATGAGATCACATCTCAAGAGCAGCCAGAGGGAGTTTGTGGAGACCTTAGAGGCTGCTGTTGGGGACAGGGGCACCAAGAGATGTATCTTAGTCCTAATTGTTGAAGCTGTGGTATGCCTTTATTTAGAAGAAAGGCATATGTAATTCTAATTAAGGATAATTGAGATGATATGGTCATAAAATATTATATAAATTATAAGATTATAAAATATCCAGTAAGTGCTTTTAAAAGAAGCCATATGAATTCAGAGGCAGATGCTGAGATGTAACCTTAAGCCAGAGCCATAAACCAGAGTGATAGCCTGAGGCAAGACAGAGAATTGACGTTGTAAACATGTTTATGAAATTTAAAGTCATGGGATGTTATTAGTCCACCTAGGAATAAGTAGAAGAATGGGAACAAATGACTGGAGTTTGAGTTGTCCAACCTTTAGATCAGGAGATAGAATGCAGTTTGTAGTATTCACAAAGAAGGAAATGGCATTGCCTCATGAAAGCTGATGTCAGAATATGGTACCAATGTTGAAGAGAGAGAAGGCACTGGGTTGTTATAATGGGTGGTGGGGGACAATGGAGAGTTGCACACTACTTCTCCATGTAGAGGAAGACCCCTGTAAACTTAGCACGAAGTTACAGTTTCCAAGTGGGGGGCTGGGTGTCCAGCAATTGTCACTGGCACAAACATGGTCTTAGGAAATGCAAAGTGAAAGGAGTTTTGCCTGAGGAATTGGAAGGCAGAAGGAAGACTTGGGTATGTATGAGAGAGGTAAGATATACAGAAGTAGTGAAATGAAGTTGGAGAGAAGGGAGGCTCGATGAATATCTTAGGTCACTGGACTGGAGCCCTGGATAAGGTGGAAGCCATGGTACCAGCTATGGATAAGGAAAGTAAGTTGTGGTAGGTTTCCACTAATGATTTGGGAAGTAGGTGTTTAAGTGTGCTGGCGGCCAGATTCAGTATTCATAATAGAACAGGTTTCTGAAAAGACCTGGAAGAAAAGATCTCTGGCCCAATTTTTCTCTCATTCTAAAATATTAATCATCTCCTTCTTGGCCTAGCTGACTCCTTGTCCTTCA